GAATAAAATTTTTGTTTCGCGGAAAGTTTCTTGTACGTTGAAAATTACGCAAGGAAAAATCAAATATTCGTCGTTTATTAACGCAACTTATAACTGTTCCACGGTTTGAACAATTCTTAAAATACACGTGTTATATACATTATAAAAATTCGAAATCGTATTTCCTATAATTATAACGAGGAATTTTTTGCCAAATTTACTTATACAATTGGATAATGGAGTTAATTAGATCCACATCTCTATGAAATATTATAAAGAAACTTATAATAAATATGTAATAATCGTTAGGCAAAAATATCCTAATTTAATTATTCTTTTTTTTTTCTCTCTTTTTCTTTAGATTCATTATCGATTCCAAATCCATTGATCGACACGTACGTATACGCGTGTTACTTGAACATGTTACGTTAATTCATATTTCATATTATAATCCCACGTTCCACGTTTTAAATAACTAACGCTCTAAAATCTCCATAGAGTATCCGGAAAAGGAACCCTCTGCTCATTAACGGGGGAATTATCGTGTTCTCTTAAGGTAATGCTAATTACAAAACGAGGTGTACGGTCCCGGGTGTGCGCAGTCTAGCGTCTTAATAAGGTGTCGGCTAAAGTTCAACCGACTAACTGATAAAACTGGAGTGTAACACGAGTGATAAAGAGCCCTGTGTAGTCAACCGGCTATTAAACAGTAAAAGACTTGGACATTAGCTAGCCCTGCAACCGGTGGACCGTGAAACGTGTGAACGGGGGAAAGCACGAGTTGTTATCGAACGGGCTTGCGAAGGTTGGAGAAATACAGAGAATTTTCGATGGGCGCCATTTTGAAAAGCAAGGAAGGGATGGGAAAAATATAAAGGAGCATTTCGTCATTCTCTTTATAGAGATATCCAAGTTGGAATATTCCGTGTACGGGATGGAAGTATATTAGCCGACTTTGTTTCACGATTTTAACAAAAATACGGCCGAATTTTCGAATTATTCTTTATCTCATTGATACAGTTATAGCGTTTTCTTTTTTTTTCAATAACAGAAGTATTAATTCGCAACACGTAAAATATATATTACATCCATTTTTGGAATTTTATGACGATATTTTGTCGTAAATCTGTATTCCTTTTCGTAATTGCAAGAGATGAGAAACAATTAAAAATATTTAATTTTTTCGATTACTTGATCTTACGATCGTATTCATTTCAAGAGAATATTCTTCATTTTAGAATATTCGTACAATTTGTTTCAAGTATAGAGAAAATGTCAACGTTAATACATGCACATAGCTTTACCGGTTCTATAACGGATGGATGCAAGTTTCACGAGTGTATACCCCCTAATAAGATTGATCGATAATTCGTGGATAAGGTCGTCCTCTTCTCTTGCATTATTCAAACTTCATCGAGATTATTTTTTTACACAAATAACATGATGTATCTTCAACTTCTTAGCGTTATTAGTTGATTACTCGCTCGAGAGAAATGAATTCTCGTAACAATCCATTTCCTCCCCCTCGAGCACACAAATTTTACATAGCATCCTAGCTCTTTCTACGTAAGAGATATTTTAATAATAATTTTATCGCGATCAATTTTGTAAACTTCGTAACTTCAATAAAAATGAGAAAATACAAAAAAAGAAAATCGTTGCTTCGTTTCTCCAGACTCAAAACATACATGGACGTTAAATATTTGCTATTATATAAATCGTTCACACATACATCTTACTGTTGTTTAGATTCTATTCAAATTTTGTACATTATAGATCATTTTAGCTTGGACTTTACGTCCAAGAAAATATATCTTTTCGAATACTTACTCGATTTAAATCCAAATATTCGAATACAGAATAAATCATCTTGACCACCAAATTTCATGTACATGAAATTACATCTCTAATTATATTTGAACACTCTATTCATTTATTTTATCTCAATAATTATAATTTAATTGAAAGTAAAGACACTTCTTTGTTTCTCGATTATTTGAGTTCATACAAATTTAGAAGGAGAGAATATACTGTTCGAATTGCATATTAAAGTAGTCGGTGGAAAGAAAACGGACATCCCGAGGGATAGGCCTGGACAGCGTCGCCTCGTGTTGGAACGAATTGCTCGAGGCGAAAGGGTTCGGTCCAGGATTAAACAGAGGGAGGGGGGAGTAATCGTCGCCTGCGTAATTATATACTGTGCAGTGGTCGTGCCGCGGGGCTGGAATCTCATCTCGCCCTATAATAGAAAGCTTGGCTCTCTCCTTCGATCCGAGTGGATTATGAAAAAACTAATTCGACGGATTAACTTCGTTTCGCGATGTGGCCGTGAAAATCGATCGATCGATGGAATCTCGATTATTCTCTTTTTCTCGAAAGTTTAAGGTCAAGTTATCCAGTAGAATCCGAAAAAAAAAAAAAGAAATCAAGGAAAGATAGATTAAAACAACCTGATCTTTGTATAAGTACAAAGTATACATTGATTACACGAATTTGTCTCAATCTGATCGCAATGAGGAGAACGAAAGAATAATATTTATTTATAATTAAATGTTAAAAAAAGAGATTTTATATTAAAATTAAATTTCGAAACGGAGCTGTATGATTTTATTATTGGATAATAAAATAGATTAATCTTGCAAGATCTTCTCATTTGCTTAACACGATAATAGATCAAGGATAAAAAAAAGAAGATAAAAAACGATATTTATTCCCTCTTCATTTGGGGATTTGAAACGAAAATCAGTGATCGAAATCGAAATCATAAAATTGGGAAAAAGAAAGAGGAAAGGTTAATGTTTATTATTATATCGAGAGTCTATTAGTTTGAACTTCAAACACGCGACAGTAAACGTAGAAACAGAAACAGAAACAGAAGCGGGCAAGGGAATCGAGTCAGTCGTATTTAGTAAGCGGCGATCGTCGAATCCGCTTACGGGGATTGCGGTGTGCGAACATGGACGGAATAATAGTCGATCGCGCTAGAGAAGAATTTCCTGTAAATTGATGACGTCCAACGTTTCCCCCTTCGAATCACATTGATTGATTTTTTTCCAAACTCGAGTTCACCCTTTCATACCGAAAGAAAGAAAGAACCGTCGCGTAAAAGTTAATCGCGGACGGGAATTATTCCCTCGATAAAATTGCTTTCGAGCTATGAAGCAGAGCTGAAAATTAAATCTCTTTAAGAAGATGTAAACGCGAAAAAGCATTATTCACGAACGATCATTGATCTTATCCGTATAGAGAGAAGCGACGAAATCGGTGAAAAATCGATGAAAACCACCTACTAAAGTTTAAAACGAAACCATTTGATTCAAAGTACATTATTGGGACGCCGCAAATTCACCCTTTAATCCCTTTTCTAATTCATCAACGCCAACGAGGCGTCGAATAAAGCCTGTTTCTACA